TTGGAATGGGCGCTAGCGCCAGATGCCGCGCTCGCAATCCCTGCGATCCGCAGCGCGTCCAGAGTGTGCGTCTCCCAGCTTTGCCGAAGCGTGCGTCAGGCTGGAGAATCTCCAGTCCTAAGGTGATGCTATAGGGGGGTGGAGTCTCTGCATTCTTCAGAATTGGAGATGACTGTGACCAACCCCCTGCCATTATTGTTGTCTGGGCTCTGTTCAAACAACACAATTTGTACCGTTTTTCCGGCCGTGCCTGCTGAAATGGTCAACTTTGTTTGTAGCACGTGTTTGTTTCCAGAGCATTTAGACATGCGTCTCTCACAAACTTGATTTGTTAGGGTGTATGTCAGTGATACCAGTCCAGATAGTTCTCATGAATGATATACTTGGGAGATAATTCTTGGAATTATTATTTTTACTATTCGAATATCTATTCTATTGCAGTTGCTGGCATAGCCGTGAACGTCAATTGATCCACCTGGTGTCTACGTGTCAGAAACTAAAGCAATATTATTTTTGATGACTTTCTAGCTTTGGAGATAAATTGTTCTACACCTAGCGACCACAGTCAGTTGCCTGTGCGGTATGTAACTTTATTTCAAAAACGAAATTTTTGTCGCGAGTGGCATAGGTTCTCATTAGTAAATGCCAATGAAACAGCCTCACGGTAATGTGCCTCAGGTGGTTATCCACTGGTACTGTGGATTTTATGAACTAGAACATCATTTGTGCATCAGGTTGGCACCCGAAAGGCGTGTCATTTCACTTAGCCGACAGCGGCAGTCGTCAATCGCCCTTTTGGGAGTCTATGGGGACGAAGGCTAGAAGGAAAGGTGAAGATAATTCGGGCATCATTTGCTCTCACGTGTACAACAGGTATTATCAATCTTCGACAACCCCACTTCGAATCCAATGCTCTTTTGCGTCCTTCAGTTACATTAAATATGTGTGCTGTGACTGTCTCTATCTTTCCTTTGTAGTACTGACTCAACTTCACTGCAGATCTGTTTTTTGCAAACGATTTTCGTGTACCACTTGCGGTTGGCAGATGAAACGTTAATCTGCGACTATTTCTCTCTTCTCAGCCAGCTTTCTGGCGAGCTGCTAACTGAGCGATGACCCAGAGCCGATCTGCTTATCTCTGGCGTTGACTTCAGCATTACATGTACGAGTCAGTTACCATACACGATGTTGGTGTTATTAAGACTGTTGTAGCGTAGTACGCCTCGAGTACGAAATCGGCATCATCTGCTTCTAGTTATAGAAAACGTTCCGGCGACATCTTTAACCAGCGTCTGTGGCTGCCATTGCTGTAAGCGGACCGTCCCAGGCTCTTTCTCGTCCTGGCCTGTCCTTTCATAAACTGGTGGAACACAAAACCTGATTTGTCCGGCTCTCCACTAGTTTCACAGGGGAAATCTTCACAAACCTCTCTTAGCAACTCATAAGAGAGTGACCAGAATCTACAGATTTTTCGCTTGCCGAAATTTGCTCCAAAGTGCGTTGGGTTAAAGCCGTTTTACAGCGAGCCTGAGCGGGCCGTGTGATAATAATGATCAGGAGCTGATGATAATATTAGATGGCCTATAGGGTAATTCCTGACGATTATATGACTCGTGTATATATATATATATTATGATATACTATGTATATATCTATGGTATGGTTAAGATATAATCTAGGTCTATTTTATACTTTAGATTCGCTGACTAATATCCTCGAGATATCCTGTGGTGTGTTTTTTCGCCCGACTGAAAAACTCCAAGAAAGCAGGATGAGCACTTGACAGCCTGCAGTGGAAGCCGTCTTGCCGAGTCCTGGGACAGCTACCAAAATTTGTCACGCAGAAGTCAGCGCGCGGCTTCACAGATTTTAGCGTCCATTGGAGCATCCCGCACGACAAGACCAGACAGGTTAATTTATGCGAGCCCTTAAGTCTTGTGTCTGTTTATCTGACGAATATCCCTAGCCTCACTATCTCAGATTTTTAATTTACATCCACGAAGCATTGCAAAATTATATTCTTGCCGGCTCTTCCTGTATTTGACAGCACTGATGTAAGTCATAACCAATAAATGCTGAATAAGTATAACAAAGAAAACTCACATGTTTCATGGTCTCATGTCTGAATTAAGGTTTTCACCAGATGAAGTATACCATGAACTCATTACCCAGCCCACTCCCTTGAAGAGAGAAGAAGTAGTGTTTGACCTTAGGGAATACCAGATTTCGTCGATAATTTAAGGTTTGTCATATACGAATATCATGGCTTATTATCTCCTAATAGGATAATTATATGGTTATATCTAGCTGATAATGAGATCTTATTTCCTCGCTACACATGTTAGAAACAATTGTAACTCGCATAGCCGTTTGCTGACCTAGCTTGTATGTCTGTAGCTGAGGGATAAGATCATCTATTCCCAAATGCTGCTTCATTCACATGGTAAAACCATTTGAATCTGGAGTTGACACTTTGGTTCGGGCACCATACCCAGATTAACCTTCCTAATTAAATCGAGGTTGAAAGTCGTTGAATGAACACCGAGATTCTCAAGTGTGATTGTTGCAGAGGCACAGCTGTGCGTAGACCAGGCGAGGCGGTTGTCTTATCCGTTTCCCGGCTACCGGAACCATCAGGGTTTTCGTGGGTTGCCATACAGACATGACTTACCTATCTCAATTAGGAGTCGCATATTCGTGTCACTGGCAGACAGGATATATTGTGAAGGGCAGAGGGGGATGTGTCGAAGAACGACGTATGTATGCACGATGGAATAACGCGCAACGGGGAAACGCTAAGAGCAAGAAAACCCGAGTCCAATGGTCCGCGTAGAGTGTTTTCAGTATGCCAGCGATTCATGTGCTTTCAATCTATGAGTATAAAATGATTAAGATCAGACAAAAGATGATTGTACTATGTTAGAAAAGTAGTTATTGAGAAACCATAGCTGCTAAGAAGGCATGTTAATAAAAACAGTTGTAATTATAGTCATTTTTTTTTTCATGAGCCGGTTCCATTGCTTCTTATTGTTATCCTTTCCGTTTTTTTTTGCGTTTCACTTTCTTATGCTTCGACTTTGTTAGTTTTTAAGAAGTATGTTTCTCGTAAGCGTATATTTTCCACGGTGGCTCTCTTTCCGATATTGCACACTAGAGCCGAGACACTGTTTGGTCTATTAACCAGTCATGATATGGCAGAACACTAGTGAATGAGTTGGCAGTGTGTATACCGACCTTTAGCACGTGTGCTCATTAAACTCGAGACAAGAAAATACAGCACTTAAATCTCCAATTCAATCCAAGACTGTGATCTCTCTAATGTGATCGCATTTACATAAAGAGAGATGTCATCGTACTTTCTTCTCCTTTGAGATGTGATTTCTATATTTTGTGCTTTTGTCAAACTCTTACTTGCTATTAATGGTGCGCGTCTTGTTTGGAGTACATATACGCGTCGATAAGGTGATCGCCAGCGAATCCGATAGTTAACATGCTATATCAAGAGCACTAATAAACACTCACGGCGACCTTTACTCCTAGGTTCCGATCGAAGGAGTCTATTGGTTGATCTGATCCCGACAACAACGCAAAGCTCACTTTTACCGGTCACTTTGCTTGTGACCTACTCACGGAGATGGGTTCATAACAACGAAAAGCTGTGATTTAGCTGAGGTACGGCGCGCGGACTCGCCATATCTGACGATAGCCGCCTTTTGGGGCGATCCATCTCCTCGGCTAGATGCACAGAGGTACAGCGTATGGCGCATTGGGCGATCGCGGAACGCATTGCACCACCTTGAGCTGGTGCGGAAACCAAGCGACCTCGACATTACAGCTGCCCAGTTGACGGAGGGGCAAGGCTCTTTATTTGAGGGCGGCGAGATTGCAATTGCGATAACTGCCTTTCAGATTTTTCCTCTCTAATGGATTGTTGCTCTTATGTGCATCTTGCCCACACGTTTTGCTAATATTGTTTAAATTAATCACATCCAGTGATCTCCATTCGATACGGGAAACTTCCCTCACTTCTGATTTTGAGAGGGCACCAAGGCACCTTTTGTAAGATGAAGTTATGATCATTATTACACAAATATGATACTACGTATATCGATTTGTCCAAAAAAGCTATGCTTGTAATGGTGACAAGTACCGTTCGTCAGGTACAATAGTGTTATCATTACAACGTAGTTACTCATTGTATATGTGCAACTATCCTAGTCGGCCTCTAGTAACTGAGAGATAGAGGAATCCACTAGCGACCCTGGCCTGACGCTACTGTTCCTGTAACCAAGAGCTCCTAGACCATTGTTATTTGAAAACTTTATCGCACCTTGTGGTTGTCTCGTGGTCGGAATCTGTCTACTAAACTTCTCTAAATTTACTGCACTTTAGCAGCTACACACCATACAATCACAACTGGCCATTCTTGCACACGAACGGCGTTTCCCGCAGCTTTAATCGCGCGCGGGCCGAGGTCGGGCGTGCAGCATGGAAATATTCGTTTCCTAACACGCTGCAATACACGGCACGATTTTCGATCGGTCTGAGTCTGGTTTCACGCGGTTGGCACGCAGCACGTTCCGTACGGTCTATTGTTTTTGCGCAAGGGCTAGATGCGAATCCGGCCGGCACCGCTTGCTAGGAATTGGCACCGCTCTGCGACAACGTGCCTGCCTAGCGAACCGAGTCTTAGCGATGGCACCACGGGTCGCTCTTTACTCTCGCATTAACGTAAGAGGGCATAGGCCAGCTGTGCTGCTGTCCATGGGTCGTCGACAGCCGAATCTTGACACATTCTTCGGCCAGCTGGGGAGGGCCGTGGATACGCGCCTGCTATTGTATAGGGCATTACATCGGCCTCGCGCCGCCGGCAACTGCCGTTAGGGTCGCTTAAGCCTGCTCGTATGAATACGAAGATATCCAATCTGCTGAGTCCTGGATGGGCCGGAGGCCAACAATGCAGTCAGATCAGACGATCCATCGGATACGCGATCGTTGGAATCCCGACGAGTACACAAAGCCGCGGCCGACACTCTACGATTCGTGCCGGCGGAGAAACTTGTAGTCCATTGCCGGCGCGGAGTATCCTCGTATATGTTCGTGCAGACACACAAGTGATGTCGTGCCCTGCCTCCTAGACGTTTTTGACCATAAGTTGTCATCTCTCGAAGAAAAAATATTGTCCTGTAATGTTAATATTTTTAGCATGTTCTATCTGTTTAGGATAAGTTGCAAGAGTACGAAATTGTAGTGATTTTCAAATGCTACTGAATTCTAGACAAGTGTTCCTATCTTATCATTGGCGTTCATTATAATGTTTTTTTTCTGAACTGTTCCGGGGACCTTTGCCTTTGGATATGTTTGTGTGTGATTGAAACGCTAACTATAGCAATTCTTTTTGGTAATCACAGTTGTGGATTAGAGGAAATAGCATTGTTATGAAAGATATAACACAACATTTCAGATGTTTTACAATGAGAATTTACACTTTTCTAATTTTTTACATTGTTGTTGGAGACGCTCTGTGTTAAGTTAAGACGCCAAGTGCGTACTTATGATATCCGGTTGGATTTTGGAACTAGGGTATTTGGGTAGGACAGAGGCTAAGTAGTTTAATTTCTTACAACATTGGGTTTTAGGCTAGCTGCTCATCGGGCGTCGAGCGCTCGATCTATTCTCGACCAATAGTGTGAGCTGTATTGAAAATTTTGATTTGAAAATCAGCTCTCAAGGGACAGTAACAGTATTCTTTAATCTTGTTCTTTCTTTCAGCTGTTGAGCAAGTGTTGCCCTGAAGTGGATGAACAACTAGAGCAGACGATGTTCAGCGCGGTACTTGTGGTAATCCTAGAACAGTATAGGTACTGTTGTGTGCAGACATGCTCTCAATGTGGTTTGGTGTGCGTTCTATCATTAGGACGGAGAAGTTGTGTGACACCGATTGTGGGTTTCTCTCGAAATTTGAGTGCTTAGAATGGTTTTGTGTCTCTACTGTGAGTCTAACTAAGCATGATATGTGCTATAATATCTTATGGCTAGATGGCATATGAGGTGGTTTTCTAAACGTTAGGTTAGGACAGGTGGGTGTGGTGTTGGGTTTGTCTTGGCTTGAGTTACTTCCGAGCCTTCTGTGCCTCCTCCTAACGAGCTGCACTTTATCTTTGTTCATTCAATGTGCATAGATTTGTTACTATTATTGGTATGTGTACGGTCTTAATGATAAGTCTTAGTGCTATTTAGGCGATCTATTTGTGCTAATTTTTTGAGGCAGTCTTTCACCTTTTGTTTTTAGTGACTTAAATACGTTGTGGTGATTATTACTATCTTTATTGCATGCTATTGAACAGCAGTGCTTGACTGTTACTTAGCACCCGGGCGCAAGTGCGTAGTAGTAAAGGCACTCTTATGTTACTGAAGATGTGTTTTTTACTAGTCTTGAAACATACAAAGAGCTCAGAGATTTGCCTCTGTTTTAGACAGCACTTCCGATCTTTGGTCTATGAGCGGTTTATGGCTCGAGTCCGAACGATTCACTGTGTGCAGAAACATGGAGGATGAAGCCTGCGTTATTAGTTCTCCACTTGTGTGTGTGTGAGTCCACAAGATGCGCCAGACTGTTGGGAATACGAGAACTGCAGAGGTATCATGTAGAAAAGCGATGGTTTCGCCATCACTGCGAACAAAAAACCAATATTAGAACCAGGCAGGAAACGTAACAACTAGGTAGGAACCTGTGCAAAACATGCCATCACTCGAGAGTCCAGCGAATATTCAGACAAGGTCAGTTAACGACGCATCGGCGGGGAGCCACGGCCGCTGGGCTTGTAAGGCAATGCGGGAGAGTGCTTTCAGAGCAATGCCGTGCTGCGCGCCCCGCACGATGCGCAAGCCACCTTGTGTGTGTGTTGTTCAGTGAGCTCTGTGAAGGTAGTCCCCTGTTATGTGTTGTGACCGCACGTTGTCTATGTTACACACGGGGCCGCACAGGGGGAGGCCAGGTCAGTGGCAAGTGAAGCAGTTGTTCTCTTGAAACACTGTGACACCTGACGCCATTTTCTTAGTGCAGGCTCCGCTGTAAAAAATTGTTTGAACAACTGGAGATCTGATCACTCGTCCAGAGATATGGAGAATGTGCTGTCTCAGAGGTAGCCGTTAATGGGACAACATGTAGTTAGGATTGCTGTAGTGACAGTGAAAGACTCCCTTTCAGGATAATGAGGCAGATTTGATGTCGTCCTAGCAATGTGGAAAGTTTATAGATTGGTAGTATGTAGGGCAGACAAATCTTGGATGTTGTGCCAGAACTCTCAAAATCTGAGTAAATATATGGTGTTAAAATATGCATAGCAATTTCACTAGAAAAACTCTTTGAGTCGACACATGCCTTCATGAAGGCAGGTTCATGCCAAATATGTGATAGAGTTTTCAAGAAGAGATATTCTTGATGATCATGTTGCATAATCTGGGAGTCCGCAGAGCAAGTGTACAGTCTGGGGGGTATATATTTACACATGATGGAAGCTTTACGTACCTACAGACCCATTTGGGCTGTCCACTGCAGTAGTTGTTGTGTTGACGAAATTTCATACGTTGACGGAAACTGGAAGCCTGCCTGTAGTATATAGCGATGCAGTATTGGTTGCAAGTTATGCTACAAGCATTCAACACGGCAGAAACTATTGGAGTCGCACAGCAACAAGCACAAGGTCGATTTATATGCACTGTGTACCAAAACGTTACACAGAAAAGCTCTCTGAGAACTAGTTGTGCTCTAACACACGAGACAACAGTCTTCGGTTGCGATTAGTTTGTGGTGAAAAAAAGTTCTGCCAAGGAGAAATACCTGACGATAGCACCTTTGCCTCTGCAGCGACGGGCGGGGCGAATCGCGCTGCCGAGATATGCAAGAAAGTGGCCGTGTCCTCAGCAGGCAAGGGTTTGTTAGTGTCTCTTTACACATGCGATTCTGCCAGCAAGTGCAGGAGATTGAAACGGTTTGGCGTGATTGCATGCAGACAAGTGCAAGCTGGCAGTACCGAATGAAGGCGTTCGTACAGATAGACTCAACGTATGATTCACACCGCACGTGTTCACGTCTGCAGCGCGTGTGGCTGCAGTGTTTACGATTCTCTCTCTGATGGTGTTGCAGCATCTGCGCCGAGATCGCTGCCGAAGTGTCAGTACGTGCGGCACACAGGTGTTCGCTTGACACGAGCGTGTCTGAACCTCAACAAGCACATGGAGTCCACAACGATCCGAGTACGAGTGCATGCACTGCTATCTGCACTCCACCAGTGGACAACATTTGCGAAGGGTGCGGACGAATTGTGAAGCTCGCAAGCTTGTTGTGTGTAGTTCGTTGGCTTAATTCTTGTGCAGGTATGCGGCACGCAGGTTCACGCGCGCGAGTATCTCAACCATGTCTGTCTCCTGGCACGACAGAAGAGATTGTGTGGTGCGCCGAAGGCGGCAAGAGTTTCACGAAGACGTGTCCACTCCTTTGGTGCATTCTTTTTCCGAGTTGGTACGTCTCCGTTGTAGAGTGTGGCACGTATGGTGACGTCCAGACACTCAGCTCATATGCACATTGAGACTGCATTGACGGAGATAGAGCATATCCTGTTGATGTTTGTGGAAGTGCTGGGGGTGCCGGGAGGGCCAGACATGTTAGTAAGCACAGAACACGCGACATTGACGGCATTAACGTTTCGATTGTTGCGTACGTGCGGGCAAGGCTTCGCGATCAAGGGACATCGAGTAACCTTGGCATTCACGTGTTCAAGTCATCACAGACGGCTGAGTTCTGTTTTGCGAGGTTTGCACCCCCCACCCCCTATACGGGCCATTTGCTGAAAAAACATCTACTAAAACAACACGAGAAGCTCCTTCACAGAATCTGAGCTCTGACATCCGTGACAGTTTCTGCCAACGACGGTAAACTGAGGCAGTTAGCCTTCGTCACAGTCACCTTGCCGGAGAAGAAAGATGCGGACCTGACCTAGTGGTAGTTGGATAAGACCGCGGGTTACATCGAGCACAGCTTGTTAGAAACACAAACAACAGCGCATGGAGTCTGTTATGTGGGAACACTATTTCCCTAAATCAACTCCAAGGAGCTGATACTGCCGATCCTTGCCGAATGCTTCAAACGAGCAGTGTCAGACAGATTTTCATTGTGGGACATTTTCAGATACTGCGCGTGTTATATCAGCACATAGGAGATCTCCCTGCCAAGATCTCGAAGAAATCCCTTAACTGGTAGGAGAGACTCCCTTTGAAGCAATGAATCGCGCTGACCTTGGCTTAGGACAGGGTTTTTACATTGGGTTTGTCTGAAGCTTAGGTTTTGACCTTGGCTTAGGACAGGGTTTTTACATGGGCCGAGGCTTTAATCTTGGTAGGCCACTCACGTCTGTCGGTGGCTGGTTATTTTCGGTAGGCCCTGCAACCTTTGGGTATCGGCGTTGCGACGGGGGAGCAGTGCCACAACCGCGTCATGTTTAAGCAGTTCCTGCAGGCCGGCGCGATGCAGTTCTGCCAGATTGACAGCTGTCGTCTTGGCGGAGTCAACGAGATCATTGCCGTCCTGCTATTGGCCGCAAAATTCAAAGGTACGGGACGCGAGAGTCGTTAGTGGTCGGCGTTTCAATCTTGGATAAATGTAATTCTGGTTTAATGGGAAGGCTTAGGTAATGATTGAAGGCTTGATGTTCAGTATGGGTTACAGTTGATAATAGGTAGATGTGACGTGATGAGGTGGCTTTAATTAACCTGTTAATTACGAGAGTACAGCTTGACGACGATAACTCGTCAAAACTGTCGTGCCAATTATATTTCTGGGTGTATCTCGTATTATTTAGTCATCACATATGACCTGTTAATGAGTTTGCAGTGATTGGCGGTAATTGATGTTGTGTTACCAGTGCCGGTGTGTCCGCACGCGGGAGGACTAGGCCTCTGCGAGCTCGTGCAACATATGGCCATCTTTGACTATATATGTGTGTCTGCTTCGTTAGAAAACAGGTAGGTGGCAGCACTGTGCAGTATGAATATGTAAAAAGATATGTGAACACAGAGAGGGAGAGAGCGAATGTGATTAAAGTATTTTAAAGTGAGAGACAGACAGAGAGAGAGAGAGGGAGAGGAGATCGAGCAGCCGATGAGAGCAGACGATAGCAGAGAGATGGAGACGCAGACTGCACGGGAGAGTCATGACGAGAGAGGAGAACGCAGACGACCGTAGAGAGAGAGAGTGAGTGTGTGTGTATGTGATAACGTATGAGAAACAGAGAAATAAAAAGAAAGGGTTGGAGAGGTGGAAGAATGCATTTTTTTACAACAGTTACATTAGAGTAAGAGATAAAGATATGAGTGCGAATATTTCTTTTGCGCGTGTTGCAGGGTGACTGAGTTTGTCGATCATCTGCATGAACATTTTGTGAATCCGGTGATCATAAGAAATGCTGCGTACATTCCCCCACAGGTATGTCTGCATTCTATAACACTTGACTTTGTTGCTTTATTATGGCTTTCACCTATAGTATATGTTGTCCAAGAATATGAAAAACTCTATGAGGTGTTGGAACTGTGTTGTACACAGTTTTCATGGTGGTTGTTTTATTACAGGCACCTGGCTATAGCAGCGAGTTGAAACAGGAATCTCTGGATGCCCACACCTATCCAGGTGGCAGCACCTGGCAGATGCTTTTTCACAAAGGCATTTTCAAGTCTAATTGATGCGCAAAAAAGACGATTTCCCCAAAATAATTAATTGTGGCATGAAATTATATCACGACCTTATGTATTCCATACATATATAATATAAATGATATTTTTTTCGAATTATTACACTAAGATTTCATGCTGCTTCAAATGAGTTAAATGACCCATGCAATTATGACAAACGTGTATTACTGATGCAAATATTATTATGATAGAAGATGTAGATGTATTCACCGGAATATATATATATCTTTGAGACACCTCAACTGTAGCACAACTATATATGATATGGAAATTTATATTTGTTGTAGAGCTTTTATTAAAATTTATATTTTGTAATATTGAAGGAATTGGTTGTTTGCCACGTGACCGTTACATTGTGTGTGTGTGCGCTGCTGTAAATCATGTGGTTATAGATTTAAACACAACTTTGCATACATATGCAGTCAGTTTCATCAAGTAACTTACACTACTGCACACCTTACAATGAAGTAACCACAAACTCACAAACAAACCTCATTACTTCAATGGCAATGATAAACTTCTCCCCGTTAACTACTTCGGATTCTTGTGTCACATATATTATTTGGCTTACCACCACATATGCCACTGGCCCCTTTCTTATGCCACCACCCATGACCCCCCTTACACACAGGCACTTGAAGCGTTTCAATAAAATATAATGCTAAATAAATACGAAATCTATTTACTACCAAACTGTTAATGTTTCTATTCTCTCTTTCACCTATTATTGCCGACAATTTCCTGTAAATGCCGTCCAAATGCTCATCTGCAACAAACGCTGGCAACAACTAAAACAAAAATTGTCGGCAATAATAGGTGAAAGAGAGTATAGAAACATTAAGACTTTGGTAGTAAAGATTTTGTATTTATTTAGCATTATATTTTATTGAAACGCTTCAAGTGCCTGTGCCGTTACACCCCGCACCTCGCAACCATCCAACCTTCTCGACCACCTGCTGAGATTCGCTACAAAATATGGAAATTTTTGATAGTAGATGGCGCGGTATGTTCATGATATGCGCGTATGGCGTTTCGTGGTATTATGTAGAATGTAAACGCTGTTTGTGTATGCTGAGCGCTAATAAGTAAATATAGCCTCATAACACCACAAAGCGAAACGACAGTTCTCCCTGTTTTAATTTCCTTTGCGTTGCATAAGTAATCAAGCCGATATATCATACCTGTGCAGGTGCGCCAATCAAAGTTAGCACAGCGAGTGACCCGGATGTTGTACAGTTACAAGCATGGCGTCAGCGTTGTCATGTCAGTGTTGCAACGCTCTTCTAAAATCACTTGGATTTGAACGGTAAGGCATTCTACTGTATTGTAATCGCTGTTACTCCGACTCTTGCACACCAAGGAAGGGAGCAGCATGCTTTTAAGTGCTGTCAGTGTAGCGAATCTGGCGTTTTGTGAGTGGTAATGCCAGCGATTATCTCTGTGATTCTTTATTGCGGTGGGAATGTTGTTATTCTTCTACTCGCAGCGTCATAAGTCTGACCGCGCAGTATGGTGGCGATGTCGTCGCGATTAGGAGAGCACGTTAGCCGTGTTTGTCTTTAGGAATTCATGCTCAACACGATTAAATATTTGTTGCTACGTACACTCACAATCGCGAACTTTCTTCGTATTTAGCTTTATTTTATATTAACTATTGAGTAATGAGTAATGTCGTCACCGAGTATTTAAAACAGCTACAGCAACACTGAGTAATTCCGCAACAGGTAGGGTACGTTTCGAATTAAACACAGAGTACCAGTCTTGGAAATAGGTCTGAAATGCCAGCTACTCTTGATTTAGAAGACTTAGGTTTCTAATATTAGCTTATAATGAAAATCCATAAAAGTAAGCCATTTCTGCTTAAACGTTACCAGTCTGAGACTAGGGGCAGGTTGCTATAAAATGTCCAACACTGTTCAGTATATGTGTGTTATTCAAAATCTTAGCATGTGGTATTGATGTACCTCCATCATACATGTAATTAATGTAAACGTAACTTGTGTGTGCGCGAATATGTAATGAGTGATTACCCAACACTGTAACTCTGTTCTCTACCCTATCTAAATAACGTGTTGATGTCATGACTTCATACTTCACTTTCAACTTCCAGGACACGCACATAGGCTCATCGATATCTCATCCGTACTGTGACACAAAACACTAAGGATATCGCGGCGACGTGACAATCGTACCTACTCTACGATACACCCCACTCCGCACGCGCATGAGGGGGTCATGTGATCGATCACCGTTGCTCCCGATCGCCGGAGATTGAACGATTTACGTCCGGTGCGCGCGTGCGAGGCAGCAGCGGTAGCGCTGACGGCAGCATCCACGACGTTAACGACGACGACGAGTAACGATGAAGGTGACCGTGTGCTTTGGCAACGTGCGGGTGATGGTTCCCTGCGGATGCGGGGACATCCTCGTACGAGAACTCATGGAGAAGGCAGTCAGTCGCTACAGGAAGGCAACGGGACTGGTGAGTGTACATGCCCTGTTATATACGTCGTCACGGTAACCACCACCTAATCATCAGCATCAAGGAGGGGGAGTGTACATGCGCAGTTACATGGGTCCTTACCGTAACCGCCACCCAATCCTAACTTTATCATCATGTATGTACTACAGGGAGGCAACAGGTAGGGTGAGTGTACATGTATGCCTCGTTATATATGACCTTACACCGTAAACTGCCAACCAATCCTAACCCTATTGTGTATGTACAGGGAGGGGAAGTGTGAACCATGCCCTGTGACATACATGTATCGTTACGGTAACCACTAGTACCCAATCCTAACCCTATCGTGTTACCAGGGTGTGAAATTAATGGAAGTCCGGAGTCAAATACTCCCTGATTTACTGTCGGACTCCCTGATTTGACATATGCAGGAGTCCGTGTGACTCCTGAAAATTCTGCCATATAACTACGCTTGCAGAATTACACGTATTTTTTTCAGCTAAATGTCCAAAGAGAATTTAGGCAGACGTGCAACGACCGCATGAATCTTAAAAATAAGTACATGCGTTATATTTAATTTTGAACCTCAGACTGCGGACTCCCTCATTTTGCTGCGGACCCCCTCTTTTTGTGGGTAGGGAGTCCGTTGGACTTTCGTGTTCAAAAGTTAATTTCTACCCCTTTGTTACTGTATGTACTTCAGGGGTAGAAATTAACTTTTGAACACGGGAGTCCAACGGACTCCCTAACCTCCAAAAGAGGGAGTCCGCAGCAAAATGAGGGAGTCCGCAGTCTGACGTTCAAAATTAAAGATAACGCATGTGCTTATTTTTAAGATTCATGCGGTTGCACGTCTGCCAAATTTTCTTAGGACATTAGATTAAAAAATACGGTAATTCCGCGAGGCCGTGCTCTGGAACGAACTAGTTAGTATGGCAGAATTTTCAGGGAGTCACACGGACTCCTGCATATATGTCAAATCAGGAGTCCGACAGTAAATCAGGGAGTATTTGACTCCGAACTCCTGTTAATTTAACACCCTGTACATGGAGGCAACAGGGAGGGTGGGTGTACATGCCCTGTTACATACGTCCTTACCCGAACCGCCACCCAATCCTAACCTCATCGTCAAAAGCTAATAAAACATTGCCGGTATTTTTAGCTCTTGTTATCACTCATGCACAGGGAGACAATGGGAAGTGGGAGTGTACATTCCGCGTCACCATACGTCATTACCTTAAAACTGTGATCTTTGCCTAACCCTACTGGTAATCGGCCATGTATATGCAAGAGGAAGACATAGCGAAAATATCAATAGCTATGTCTACAGTGCATTAATTTCCTCTACATAGATGATAGACAGTAGAATGAGTAGATTATCATCGTTGTAAATCATCGCCATAACCCCTAGCTATTCCTAACCCAGTAATGTATGTACAGTTAAGCTCCGGGAAGGGTGTGTGTGTGCGTTTGCGATGCGTCCATACACTGTCATCGTCATGTAATCATCATCATCGTCGTCATAACGCTTACCATTACGCTGCCCCTAATTTCACCTTAATCCTAATCATAATATTGAGTGGGGCTTGATCCAGGTGGCCGTGTGCGACCTCGTGTGTAGTAGCCGCGATAGGCACTGGCATAGCTTCAGCTATAATGCAGAGCGACTTCAATGGTGGTTATTATGTAGATGGACTGATGTTCTTCTCATCCCCGTGAAGTCGTGTGGTAAGATTAGAGAACGAATGGATGCCCTCGCGCTGTCCTGCGCATTGTCCCTCGTTACTTCCATCGTAAATAAGCTGTAACATGGTGATGCAAAATCTTTACGTGAGGCAAGCCTTCAAAATTCAAATTCAAATTCAAATTCAAATAAAGTTTAATGCTTCAGTGCAATATGCTAAAAGATTCGCGTGTGTACAGCGCTTTCTGGCGTTAGAGCTGCATTAGCATCGCGTGAGTGCGGAATATGATGAGGGTACCCGCGTGTGTGTATGTATGTATGTGTGTGTGTGTGTGTGTGTGTGCGTGCGTGCGTGCGTGCGCGCGTGTGTATGTGCGTGTGTGCGTGTGTGTAAAACCTGCAAACAAAACAACAATAGATGCTAGTAGCCCTAGCGGGTTTATGCAACGAAAAGATAACTGACTGTGAAATAATTAATGAGATATTAATTAGTTTTAAAATTTAATAGATTCTGCCGCCAGGTGATGATATACAGTGTATAAGATAACGTACAACAATCACATAATCAAGCGTATGCATATTGTCGTTGCAATGATTGTATATATTGCATGCATATTGTAAGACAAATTGTCTTTATTAACTCCTGATATATATACACGCACGCACGCACGCACGCACGCACGCACGCACGCACACACACACACACACACACACACACACACACACACACACACACACACACACACATATATATATATCACTATAATCAGGATTAATACAAGAGTTTTGTCTTTATTAACTCCTGATATTAATGATTGGTGGGTACAGTAGCAGTCACAGGTTACAGGCTGTTGCGCCCGCCAGACCATAACATTGTCATTCGCTGCGTAAACATTATACTTGTCCTAGACTAATGACAATGCAAATGGCACGTCCCACGCGCCAGGCTCACATAATCAAAAATGTATTGTCTGGATCCGCACGTCGTGCA